TTGGACCATCCTGAGCAGATGACCCCAACGACCTCTTCAGCTAATGGTGTAAGCATGTCCATGTCTGAACTCTTTCCATGATTTCACCTTAACTACAACATAATACTGACAAACTGATGGTCATCATTGAATTGAAAGGGGATATAGCAGTTCAATTTGCAGAGATGAAGCGTTTAAAGGTGATGATGGAGAAACTATTTTATAACTAACATGAATAAGTCTGTTTTTTTTTTCCTTTCTTTTTTGCTGTAAGGCTGACATTACCCTACAACACACGCCTAATATGGCACTCTGTTTAACGATGCCTGCCTTGGCCTGCCATTTCCTCCACTGCCACGTGCAAGTGCCGCTCTCAAATCCACCTGCAGGCTCCATGAAGGTTTCAGAAATCTTCTCATCACTCCTCAGTTCCTGCAGGCAAAAGTGAAACTATACGAGAAGTCCAGTCGCTAAGTACAATCAAAGTGCTGCTACAATAAATACATCAGAGCATAAATGTGAGTTGTCTGACTGAAGTTGAAAGAGTCTTTGATAAGAGTGGATCCCCCTCCACGGAGGACACCATCCTGCAGCACCATGTTTCTACAGTATCACAAAGTGACAAACTAGAAACACATGCATTTCTAAATGTTGTGAGTGGCAGCAAAGAAATGCTTCTTGTCCTCATGGGCCACCATTACTTTACAAACAGAGAGGTGAGTAAGGGAGCATTAAAATCTTGAATCTGACCACTCGTTATCAGTTAATGTTGGTATTCCTCCATACTGGACTTGAAAGCGCCCCAGTAGATTTCCTAAATAAAGATCGTAACCAAACAGTCCAATAAATGTCTAAGAGGTCTTTTTCATGGATTTGGACTGGATGTGGCTCAGAAGTCAGCCTCTCTGTCTCTTTCTGTCAGGCTGGTTAAATTTCCCTCTTAGCACTGAGTCTGGACCAGTAATTCAACAGATAACAGATATCTGTCATATAGTGGAGGCTCTCACCTTCCATCAACTCCATATATCCATATATCTTTGCTCCTGCCCTCATCAAGAGGAGAGGTTTGCTGTTTGTCCTTCTCTGAACCTCAGATTCCCAAGGAAAAATAAAAACACAAAGTCATTCCATCTTAAATCCATTTTTTGGTCTGAGCATGAAAAGCCCCCCCCCCCCCCCCGTGGGCTCAGAGTGGGTTGCTGTGGGGATGTAGTGAGAAAGAGATAGACAGCAGGGAGCTTTCAGTAATCGAAGCAGGATGTCTATCTGGAAACTTCTACTCAGGATTAAAGGGTGTGTCACTTGTGAGTATCAGTCTCATTTTCTGTTGTTTTATGTGTTAATGTGCGAGTGGGTTACACTTCCTGACCTCTGTTTGCGTGTTTGTCAGGGAGATAACTGGGAAATTTACCAACGTGATTCATATGAACTTCAGCAGACAAGACCCTGCAGGTTTGTGGATTCAATTAGGATGTCAGATGATTTCCATATTTTAGTTGCATGCTTAATGCTATGTTCTGGTGGGAGGCCAACATCTGGGGGTACATACTTTGTTGTGCAACCATTTCGATACATTCACATGCTACTCCAATGAATAACTCCACACAGATGAACATCAAATGTAAACCATAACAGTTGTTCATTTCATCTGTACTTGGGTAGAAATTTAGCTCTCATTTATCAGTGTGATATGCTCACATGACATGCAGTCACTTATAAGTTCATTATCTTCACAAGAAACAACCAACTCTTGGCTAGCGAACCATGCTGTAGTTCTCTGTGTGGGTGCTGACACCTTTAGTCAGGACTTTACTGTAACACTGGCTGTCCACATACATTAGTGGACAAACGGACACCCCATGTATTTGAGTGCATTTCTTTCAGCACAGTCAAAGTCAAAACACACTAAACTGGTCACAGAAATATAAAAGAAACTTTGAGCATCGAGTGGTTTTGGTATCACTGATCAACTAATGAGTCCAGTTTCCAGCTTAATCCTCCTGCTGTTAATGTTAGAGTATACACAGAAGGCCATAAAAAGCATTGTCCTTAGCATGTACAGTAACTTCAGTCAAACAAGGTGGAGGCAGGATCGTAGTTTGGGGATGTATGAGTGGCACACTGCGGGCTGATGGCAGGACTTTTAAATATGAATTTGATGATGTCATAGTTGAAATCATGGCATCCTGTTTTTATTCAGGTGTTGTTCATGTTCCAATGGAAAATTTATGATGACATAAAAAAATTGAAGATATTTGTTTGTGACTCAAGCAGAATACATTTAGAATGAAAAAAAAATAATAATACTTTTGAAAAAATGTTTAAGTATTTTTGTTGTTTTCGCACAGGGCCAGAGTCATTAATGTATAAAAAAAGGATGTGGTCTCAGTGATGTCATATAACTCTTTTAGAGATAACTTTTAGAGACATGTTATGTGAGACAACAGACAATTGAATTTCCCTTTGAGGATCAATAAAGTTTTTCTTATTATTATTCTCTGGTTCAGTCAGGTCCACTTTGGTCAAAAGAAGTGATATTTGGCGGTAAGGCTGCATTCTTAGAGCTCCCTGCCCTCCTACCTGCTTATGAGTGACTGAAGTAAGGAAAAACACTGGAGGACTAGGAATTGACAAAAGGGTCGACAGGCAAGGACAGTGCAGACAATGAACCAAAAGAGAAGGAGTAAATTCAAAAGACAGGACTAAATTCACACAGGGAAACGAGAGACAGGTGAGACAATAAGACACAAGTGGCCAAGTGGTGGTAAACTTTGATCAAGGGCACTAGGAAAGGAAAAATAGAAATCAGTGGGGTTGAACACAATAAATCAAAACACAATTCAATAGTCCCATAGTCACTGCACAGGCCTACTCCTGATGCCGATCAGTTATCTGCAGGCTAGGGGGTGAAGAAAACCAGCAGACGTGAGGCCGTGTGTTGGGAGCAGCGATTTACAGTAAAGCCAAGCAATGCCAGGCAAAGCAATGCAGGGTGTTGTTGAATGAAGTGAGCTACGTCTAAGTCAAGCAAAGCAGCAGTGTTTCTTTATCACATGTACCCGAAACCAGTCAGTCTCAATTAATGCCAAGAATCACCTGCGTGGGAGGGTGGAGGACGGCCGAGCTTCCTGCTCACCTAGCTGCAGTGGCCGAGCACGGCCAGCAATGGATATGCACGTTAGAGCGGGGATTCCCCAAGAGCTGCTGTGTCCGACACACACTGAGCTGCACCACTGCAGCGGTGGAGAAAACGGAAGTGAGGCAACCAGGAAGTGGGCGGACCCTCAGAGCCAAAGAGCAAGAGGGCGAAGGGATGAATTGGACCTGCCTATATAGACTGGCCTCCTGAGCTGATTGGCTAACAAGAGAGCGCTAGGCAGCACAGGCACCATGAGAGCAGGAGTGATGAAACCCATCCTGCTACACACAGGTACAGACAATGGCTGCGTCCGAATTGCCAAGTAGTAGTCGAAGTAGTTGTCGAAGTAGTATGTAGCATGTCCAAATTGGCCACCGGAGCAAGTAGCATGCTACTTCAGATACTACTTCAGATACTAGACACGCCCACATTGTAGTATGGTCGCGGTGCAACCGACGGGCATGCTACTGACCCAAAATGCACCGCAGGCTTCTTCGTCCTCTCAAAAGTTGTAGAAGCGCATGAGATGCTAGCACCACCAGCTGCTGCCTATTTAGATGCGTTGCGAACGCCGGCTGGCCACAGCAGCGCGCACCATGGCGGAGCAGCAGCAGCAGCAGGCAGGACTGCAGCAGTACAGATGTAAGTTTCATGTAACTTCACACACTGTCCTAAAAGTGTGTGGTTGTATCCCTTTGTCATGTCATGGTGTCATATTTGCCCAAGTAATCATTTTATGAGCAAATATGTGGCGACATCATGGAGGTAAAGCTCACTTATTCCATTATTAAACTGCACAGCTGCAGTAATCATGCAGCTCTCAATGAACAAATGATCACCATGTGAGTGAATGAAGGCTAAAAGTAACGGAAAAGCTACTTTGTGAATTTCTAAAGCAGTGCAGGAATATAATACAGCAGCATCCATCACTTGCGCAATTACCATTAAAAGAGTCTAAAACTGTAACATGACTTGGAGGGGACAGAGAGCAGACCCAAACATTCCTCAGCTTTCTCCCTTTACCACTTTTAGCCAAGGTTTGTTCATTCCAGTAGCATGTGTATTTCTCAGGGACGGACGAGCAGACTGAGCATTTGATTAGGTGACGGCTCAGCCATGACCACCTGTTCACCGGGCGCAGAAACACGGCCAGAAAGGCATTTGAGTAAGTCAAGCCATTCATATGTTTCATGATTCTTCATACAATACATGTGTCTAATTGTTACCTCACAATACACTGTGTTTGGCCTTCTGGAGGTTCTTGCAAGACAGCCCCAGCCTCCCGCCGCACATCACGGCTGAGAGTGCCAAAAAAAATGGGACAACCTGAAAGACAAATATCGAGTATGTTGGGTCAACATCTGTCATCAACAGTCAATCCTCCTGTTAATTATGAAGGTTAATCTTGATACTCTCATGTCCCACAGAGACTGAAGGCTCCAAAGACAGGCGTCAGCACCGAGGGTGGTGAGGATACAGCAGCATCCTGGCCATGGTTCGAGCTGATGGATGAGGCTTTAGGGAAGCGGCCCAACATCACGTCACCATGCCTTATCGCATCAGCTGGCCAGGATGCTGGTGTATCCTCATCACCCTCAGCCACAGTGACGCCTGCAGAAACACCCTGCAACTCCCCATCACCCTCCAGCTCCACCACATGGCCCTCCAGCTCCACCACACGGCCCTCCACGCCCACAGAGGCTTCCAGCTCCACCGCTGCTCCACACTCCACCTCACCACCCGCCAACCCTCCCCTGAGGAGGAGGAGGAGGAGGAGGATGAGGAGGAGGCCAGCGTTGGAGGACATTTGGCAGGAGGTGGAGGCCAGATTGGAGTAGCAGGAGAGGGAGGCTGAAGCCAGGGAGGAGAGGAGGTGGAGGGAGTGGATGGACAGAGAGGAGAGCTGAAACAGGGAAAGGGAGGAAAGGGAAGAAAGAAGAGAGAGGGAAAGGGAGCAAACGGAAGAAAGAAGAGAGAGGGAAAGACAGGAGAGGGAGGACAGAAGGGACAGGGAGGCTCGGGAGAGGGAGGAGCGCTTTTTTTTTAAACATTTTGGACCTGCCAGGAGGCAGTATGAGTTTTGTGTTTGAGGATTTCAGTTTGTGTATGTTTTAATTTAGGCGATTGCTTTATGTTTGAGTAGGGGGCCCAACATTTTAAATGTTACGGTTTTTTGTTCTTAAATGCCTCTGTTTGTGTTATGGCACTATGACTGTGTGTGTGCCTGCGAAGCACTGTCGAACCTTGTTGGGAAATGGCTACAGGTTCTTGAGTGCATCTCCACTTGGAGTTTTCCTGAAGATGATTTGCCTCTCATCCAAGAAGCTTTTTTCAGTTCTAAATGCTGGTGGGGACAGGGGAGTAGTTAACCTCTGTGAGTCATAATAACTAAAGAAAGGAGTTTGAAGCCTCCTGGCTCCAAGCCCTGGGAGGGTCGTCAACATTTGTTGGTGTGTTGTTAGTGACTCAGGTGAGTCAACAATCAGTAAAACTAGTCAGGGTGATATATGCTGTTAGGAAACGTGCCACACACAGCATCACTCCATGGCAAAACTTTTCTGGAATAAAATCGTTTGGTCAGTTGTATCTCTGTGTTATAAGGATTGGTGGAGGTGATTAGCAGATCTGACCTAAGCAGATGGACTTCTCTCAGTGTATTTCATGTTTCGGTCATCAAGAACCACACCAGTGTCAGGGGCATTTTTCCCAAAAAAATATTTAATCATACAGAACAGAAATAAATCATACAGAACAGAAATGCAACATAAGTAATTGCCCTATATCAGGCCGCACATTTAAAGGAAACAAATATACCAAAAGAAAGTGTCAACAGCACTGTGACCTAGTTAACCTGCACTCCAACCTTCACCTCAAATATCACTCTTTTGCTGCTCTCACTGCTGCCATTGACAACAAAGCTGACCCGAGACTGACCAAAGGACAGAGAGGTAGCAGCAAAAACAAAATAAAACAACAATCAACAATAATTGTGGTCCTGGAGGACAGCAACCACAACCTCTGGGGCAGACACTGCTGCAGCCAGTCAGTCCCGCAGGTTTTCCCCTGACGCCACATCAGAACAGGGAGGTGGTCCATCTTCCTCAGGGGGAGGCTCAGCCTCGAAGAGGTCACCGTTTTCCATGCAGATGTTGTGGAGGATGGCACAACAGGTGACCACCTCCGATGCAAATGCTGGCTTCACCTCAAGGGCCCTGAGGAAGATGGACTGCCAACGAGCCTTCACCATTCTGAAGGCCCGCTCGATATTGTTCCGTACCTTGCCGTGGATGGTGTTGAACCGGGCCTGCACGGGGTTGGCCACAGGCATCAGGAGCCAGATGGGGGCACCCAAACAGGGGTGGCCTCCATCCCCCAGGATGCACCAGCCCTCTGGTGGGTACAGCTGTCTGTTATAGACCGGGCTGTTCCACAGGACACGGGGATCATGGACGGAGCCAGGGAAGCCAACAAACAAGTCAATAAACCTCCCCTGGTGGTCACAGATGGCCTGGAGCTGGATGGAATGGAACAGCTTATGGTTTAAAAAGTCCAGCTGATGTGCTGCAGGTGGCTTCATGCGGACGTGGCAGCCATCAATTGCCCCGACCACTGACCGCAGAGCTGGATTTCCCCCGAGGCGGCTGAAGCCAGCAGCGATGTCCTCCAGCTGGTCAGGGTCGGGGAGGCGGATGGTGCGGCCCAGGATGCCTACGACAGCCTCGGTCACCCTGTGCGCAATATCATGCACAGTGGACTTCGGAATGTTGCAGGCTGCAGCCACCACCCTGTAGGACGCTGCATGGGCCAGCCAAAAAACAAACAGTAGCACCTCGATGCCCTTTGGCCAGCCTCGGGTCACGCTGAGGTTGATGGCAGCAGTAAGGGCAGCAAGCGAGCGATGAGAGAGGCGAAGGTTGGGGCGCAGGTCAACAGTGTCATCCAAAAACTGACGAATGATGGGCACGGTGCTGTTGAGCTGAGTGTATGGCCCGCGTGGGCCATGCTGAAAAATCAAAGAAACCACATAATGTCATGTGTAGAACAGAGTTGCTTCTGCGGTTCTGGACAAACACCAGAAAAGACTAGTAACAAGAAATACATGACAGAGCTTCTAGTTCAAGCACTTCATGTCATAGCTTACCTGTGGCAATGACTTCAGTAATCTCCACATAGAAAATGCAAGGCGGCGCCGTCTTGCATTTTCTATGTGGAGCAGCATCAATCTGGTTGCAGGCATGCTGGCTTTTCTCTGAAGATGTGCCACCTCCGTGATGGCACTACTTTATTTCCACTCATTGTTAATGAGTAACAGGTGCCTTCTGGTGATGATGCCTAATAAGTCACGGATGCGCACCGATCATTGTACAATACTCGCTGCAGTACTACAGCCAGGCCAGCAGATGGGGGGCTTCCGTTACCACTGTCTGCACGGGCGCAGTGCCTACTCTCTGTCTGCGGGGGTCGTCTTTCCCCACCGCTCGTCTAGTGTGTCCGAATTGGGCAAACAAGTTTAGTATGTAGGAGTAGGATCTAGCAGTAGTATGTAGCAGTAGTATGTAGTGTGCGAGCGGGCAATTCGGACGCAGCCAATCACTAGAGAGGGAAAACACAGGAAGTCAAACTAAACTAGATACACAAGGAGAAGGAACTCCATAATAAACCAGGAAATGCTGAAAACTGACCATAAGAATCAAACACTGAAAACACAAAGAGAATAGGATCAAAGACAAACTGAAAACACACATGAAACAGAAACACAGGGGAACTATACATGAACAGTGGAACAGAAAATACAAAAGAAGGGAAAACCCAAACCACAAGAATAAATCATGACAAAAATCTCAAGAAGGAAGTGAAAAGTCAGCAAAAATAAAGATTTTAGTGATAGTTTAAATCATTAAGCTCAAGAAAGTTGTACTGGATATTATCAGTATTTGGGGTAGAGTGGTGAAGGCTTGTGAATCATCTGTTAGAGAGCAAATTTTCACTAAACTTATCAGTTACTGAAAAGAAAAAATGTATTTGTTCTTTTGTCAGGAATCCCTAGAAGCATCTGCCCTGTTTGACTTTAGAGTAGCAGTACATACTATCATAAACCTTGAGCTCTGTCTGTGAGCATGAGCAGCCAGTTAATTCAACTAGTGCATGAGGGAAATGGCAGTGTGGGCAGCAATAACCTAATGTAACTATTCCTATGAGTTTAAGTTTTAGGTGGAAGAGACAAGGACAACATAAAGAATAAATGGAAGCTGTCTCTACAGGACGGGAGCTTGTTAGCTACTCAGAATTTAATTTCATGTTTGAAGAAGCCTTTTTAACTAACCTCAGATTATATTTGTACTTTAACAGTAGTTAAGTTATGACATGGTTAATGAGTTGACTAGTTACATGTTGGAGCGTGATTGAGTCTATTCAATTCCAGTTCTGCAGCGTTTACATTGAACCAGCTGTGCTTATCACTGTTATGCCTCACTGTCAGATGGTCACATTACACAGAGCTGTACAGGTTGCAGGCTGTAAACTGGGTTATGCAACAGCTGTAGTCAGTGTACTCTCTCAGTGCTGAAATGTAGACTTACAGTATAGTCAGACACTGTCTGGTCAATACAACTGATAAGTGAGACAAATCTGGAGGTTAAAAGGGTCATATTTATGTACATTTTTTTTAACTCTTTTTTTTTCAAATGTGTAACAACCATAAACTGTTTGTAGAATGTATATAGAACATCTGCCTCCTCACTGCGTGAAGCCTCTGCAAGAACAGCACTGGTGAAGGGCTGCAGTAAAGATCCTAAACCCACCTCCTCCAGGAGCTGTGGACAAACTTTAAAATTAAATATCAAGTCATATCAATTTATTCAATTTTCAATCTACTTGTTCTCTTTTTCTTGTTTAGATTTCTTTTCAAGAAGTGGCACAAGTTTCCCCCCATCTTCAGGTGAAGATAGTTCTATAGATCCCTGTTTTTGCTTGTGTATTTGTCACGGCTTAGAGTCAAACAAAAAGGAAAGGACCCAAAATGTAGAACCAAAAAGAGGATTTATTTTAAGAAGAAGAAACAAAAACATGCTTTCCAAATTGTCCAACTCAAAGAATCCTGAGAAACACAAATGGCAAAATCCAAAGAACCAAAAAATCCCAAGGAGACACTGGCATACACACAGAGACATGGACACACAGTGAACCGACAAGAAAACAGGGGAAGACACGCAAGGAAACGAGCAACGAGTGACAGGTGAGAGACAGAGACACAGGTGCAGACAATTACTGAGGAGAGAAAACCGAGGTAGTAAAGCAAGACTAAGACACAGGGAATAAACCACCATAAAATAAAACAGGAAACACTGAAGACTGATATACAGAATAAAACACTGAGAACATGAGGGAAATGGGACAGACACAAACAGAAAACTCACAATACAGGACTTCAGGAGAACAGGAACATGAGGGAAAATACATTGAAATCACCTTTGTTAATGGCAAATAGGTAGAGATTGTAAGCCAGTACAAGTATCTAGGCACCATCCTGGAAGACAAACTTTCTGTAAGCCAGTACAAGTATCTAGGCACCATCCCGGATGACAAACTTTCCTTTGAGACCAACTCAGACTCCATCTGCCGAAAGGCAAATCAGAGATTATTTTATCTGAGGAAACTGAGGTGTTTTAATGTTGACAAAAAGCTTCTTAAAATGTTTTATTCGTCTTTTATTGAGTCCATTTTAACTTTTGCTATGGTCTGTTGGTTTGGTAACCTCAGCATCACAAATAAAAACAAGCTAAGGAGTATTGTCAAACTCTGCCAAAAAACTATCGGCTTGAGTCTGAATGATCTTGACTCTGTTTTTAAAACCAGAGCCACTCAGAGGGAAAAGGCCGTTCTAGCAAACCCTCTCCATCCTCTTCATGCTGAGTTTCAGCTTCTCCCGTCTAAGAGAAGGTACACTTTCACTTGCAAGGCTAAATCAAATCGGTACCTTAAATCCTTTGTCCCAACAGCCATTGGCTTTTTAAACAAGCTGTAGGCAGGCGTGATGGAAATGATGCACCCTTAGTTTGTGCTGACTCTGTGTATATATATATATATTTATTGTATTTGTGTGTGGTATTGGATGTATGCATTTCTGTAATGTGAGGTATTGTAAGAATGTGTGTTTTAACTTCTGTTGCAAACTGAATTGCCCTTAGGGGACAATAAAGATTTTCAAATCAAATCAAATCAAATCAAAACCAGAGGAACAACAGAACATATGATGACAGTATTATTATTTAGCCATGATTGTAAAATTTGTATTAAGACTAGATTAGATTAGATTAAACTTCACTGGTCCTTTTGGGTTTCCTCGGGAAAATTTAAATTCCAACAGCCTCAGAAAAAAAAAAGATTAAATAGGTAAGAAAGAGAAGACCCGCTAAACTGTTTAGCTCAGGTCCTGGAGTATGTCACTTAATCCTAGTTTTGGAAGTCCTGCAAACATTGTGTTTTCTGGTAGTGTGTTGGCATCTACAGTAGCACCAATGCTGTTTACTTTCACGTTGACTGGGCTTCAATTTGTAATTTGTAATAAGTATTTATCTGCATTATATCTGTATTTAATTGAAACGATACAAGCAAGCAGGAGCGCCTGTTTGTGGGCGGGGCTTGCTGGAGCGGAGAGGGAGGGGAGAGGAGGAGCTGAGGGGAAAACTGGTTGGGAGGGGTAGTGTTTACATTCAAGATTTCTCCCAAAAACTGGCACTTCCTCAGATCCTGCCTACCCCACTTTTAAGTTCAGCAAACGAGGAAGAGCAAGCCCCCAATTTATTTTGTCCATTTTTTTTTTTTTTATTATTTTTGACTCTTGGCTTTTTTGAAAGGGCAAACTTTTCATGAAGTCAAACTTTGTGTAAATTCTTTAATTTTCACCTGTAAATCAACAATTGTAAAAACAATACTACTGCTACTACTAATAATAATAATAATAATTATTATTATTATTATTATTTTTTTTTTTTTATTATTATTCTTATTCTTATTATTATTATAGTATGAAAGTATGATGAAAACAGATGAAACAATATTAAAATGTCATAATACTGCAATATCAAGTTCACAGTATGATATTTATGCTCTGATATCAAAAAGAAAAACACAGATAATGACTTATCTCCAAATATCTGATGCAGTCCTTCTCTGTGCCGGGTCAGATGCTCTCTATCTTGAGGTGCTTCCATGCCAGATGGGATTATCACTCCTGCTGATTTTGGGTCGATCCTGGGGTCTTCTCCAAGTTGGACCAGGAGGGAGGCACCAGAGAGGCAAATCACCTAAATTGTCTCCTTTCAGCGTGAAGGAGTAGCAGCTCTACTCTGAGCTCCCCCTGGATGTCCACGACTCTGTCTCTAAAACTAAGCCCAGAAAAAACACAGATGTACACTGTTTGCATCTGTGATATCCTGCTTTTAATCACAACCCAAAACTCATGCCTATAGGTGAAGGTTGAAATATAGATAAACCAGTAAATAGAAGCCTCTCAATTTAGCTCTGCTCTCTCCTCACTAAAACAGCCCTGTGCAACATCTGCATCACTGCTGATGTCGCACTGACTATTCTGATAAACTCATGCTCCCATATGTCAGATTTAACAGCTGCTGCAGCATAAACACCTTCTCGATAAATAATAATAACAATAATAATAATAATAATAATAATAATAATGATGCATCAGATTTTATAGCACTTTATCAGTGACCCTCAAAGCGCTTTACATTGGAAACATCTTTAATTCACTCACACACACAATAACACCCTGTTGGTGGTAAACTACCTTGGTAGTCAGAGCTGCCATAGGGTAGACTGACAGAAAAGTGGCTGCCAAACCACCAACCTTCCAGTTATTGGACCACCGCTCTACCTCCTGAGATACTGCACTGTTAAAAGGGATTTGGGCTTTTAGTCAGAGTGATTGTTGTTAAGCTAGGGAAACGCATTGCCCATTACAACAAAGAAAGAAGAGTTACAACTTCAATTAAAAAAAGGAAGGAAACTCATCAAAAACCCCTAATAATACATTCAATTAACTTCCTGATGCACATAAGGAGAGCATTTCAACCAACGTGATTGCGCAAGCAATGTGACACCACACGCAGTGTTGGATTTTAAAATCTGAGGCAACCGCCATCTTTTTTGAGGCATCCCAGCCATCTCTCCCTCTCGTTCTTAAATGGTCCGTCAATATAACCATTTAAGGTAGAGTTGAGCCTCATACTTGACTGTAACAAGCATTCTGCACCGATAATATGCTCTTATACAAGTGAAAATGCAAGACCTGTCCTCATTATTACAGAAAAAATGTGTCAACAGTGGGAACATTATGTGACATCGCCACTCTCAACGTTACAAGAACCTTTGCTCGCACTCAACCTGCCACTGCATTGACAAGGCAGCCATATAACAGAGCTACTCATGGTCCTTGGGGAAGAGGAAAAAACACTGACCGTAACCATGGCAACACGTGACAGTCGGGGTGAACAGCCGCGCAGTTCATGGGGCTGGAGAGGAGAGGATTCCTAGTCAGTTGTGAATGGGTCGAGCCGTGTTTAAATTGAGAAAAAAAAAAAAAAAGCACTAGCCCCCTAACTATGAGCCCCGAGCCCCACTGAAACAAGTGGGTTGATGCGGTACTTTAAAGAGGACATGAAACACTGACCCAAGTTATCATTATATTTAAGAATGCCACTCAACTTCACAAATCACTTTATTCATGACACCCAAAATGTAATGCATTTCTAGAAAACTGTGACAGAAGTTCCACTTTAGCGACACTGTGTGGAACCGTAAAGCAGTGCCACTTGGTGTGACATCATCGGATGTGTAGCCCGTGTATTGACTGAATTGACATAGATTGAATGACAGCAGATTAGGATGTCTAAAATGGCGAATTGAGAGCCAAAGACGAGTAAACTCACTAGAGGAGGGGTATTTTGTCTTGCGCCAGGCTGCTCCGACCAGTTTTACAATGCAAGAAAAAAAACATTGCATTTTCATCATTTGCCACTGAAACGGCCGGTGATTCTCCGACGCTGGCTAGCAGCTATGAAGCGTCAGGATCCTCCTGTTAGCACACTAGAGAAGGGGTCCTTACTCACACATGCAGCAGCAGCAGCGATCAGATGTAAACATCAGTATTGAGTGTAATGAACTTCATCACCAGAGTCTTCACTGTTTAACAGAGATCTGACATAAAAAAAACGGAGGGAAAAATGTCTTACCTTCACTCTGGTGTCGAAAACAGTCAGCATTATCAGTCATCCAGCTCCAACAGGCTAAAATCTCCCGATATTATTCCCGATTACATCCTGTTTAAACCCCGTTTACAACCTCGCAGTCAGCATCTCATCCATTCGTGTGAAAAATTAAAGTTTTTAGCATTGTTTCTGGTCGGCCGGTTCGATCGTTTATTTCCTGGTCTTCTTCCACCGGGACAAGGAACGCGTCTCGGTTCCGACGCGGTGAGTCAGTCACGGCCTGTCTGGACCTGTGGTCTGGACTCGGTACCAATTCCAGTGATGCTCCTGCGGCCTCTATCAGGACACCTGAAGCTAAAGCAAGCTAAAACTTTTCTTCACACAATGCAAATGGATGAAACGCGCTGACCGCGAGAAACGGGATGAGAATAATATTGGTGGATTATTAAACTGCTGGAGCTGGATGACTGGTAATACTGACTGTTTTAGACTCCAGAGCGAAGGTGAGAATTTTTTCCTGTAGGTTTGATCAGTTATGTCTCTGCTCGAGTGTAAGTCCAGTTGGAAGGAGGGGGTTCAGTGCACCCCCCGGAGATATATTTCTAATCAGTGTTTTTCTATAGGAAAAAATGTGCTGAAAATGATGAGCTATGATAAAAAGTTCTCAGAATATCCCATCTGCCCCAAAACCCCCCAAAACCCACTTTTTGGTATATGGCTCTAGCAAAATTGTGTTAAGGCAAATATTAATTCACTAGAATTACATAATTGGACATGAAAGCCCTGAGACAAAGGGTTAAGTAGCCCAATAGGATTTTAGGACCTGCTACAACTGTATTCATAATTATGACCAACATCATCCCCAGAAACACAAAAAAATATACTGTCCGCTTGACAAATAATAACAAAGATGATTAATTTCCAGCACTCAATGGTGAATATCACTGCCTCATTTGTAAATAGAAACTCTCCATGTCCCTAACCTTCAATCTGAGCCCAAGATGACCTTTCTGGCTTGAAAATTACTCTTTCTATAGCCAAAGTTCTGCACTATACCTCAAATCGGAGAAAATAGGAGATTCTGCCAGTAGCTGTCTATTACAGGTATCATGCACCCCCAGATATATATTTATATTTCTAATCAGTATTTCCTTATTGGAAAAATGTGCTGAAAATGATGAGCTATGTTAAATAGTTGTCAACATTACCCATCTATTATTAAGATGCAAATTAGTGCCGCCATTTTGGAAACACTGATTTTGCCTATATCTCAGCCAATGTTGCATTAAAAATAACAAATAAGGTATCTGGACCTGTTTTGAGGGTCAAGAACCTCATTGAAACTATTCTTAAAGTGGCCACAACACGCTGGTGTGAAAATGAGTTTCCCTGTTACAATATAATAACATTTTTACCAAGTAATAGATACCAATATTGTGTATAACTATACAAATAAGTTGTCTAGCCAGATGCTGAGTTTTTAAGCAAGCTGTAGCTGTAGCGATATACTGTAGCGTAACATCACAAAACAAACATCCTCAGTAATAATTGACAATAGTATACAATAGTATCACATTACAGGATCCCACCCTGTACACAAGCAAATATATTAGCAAACAGTTTACAAACAGTGACCACATTGTAAACTGGCCTGCACCATGAAGAACAAAATTCTTCAATCATTTTAATTACTCATAGTCTTCATAGAACTCGTCCTCTGATTCCTACATCTCTTCCTCTTCGCCTCTGAACTGAGGTCTCTCTGTTTTCCAATGGCTACTTTTGATCACAACCTTTTCACAAAAAATGCACTCGGGTGGGAAGATGGGACCAGACGACAATCTACGAGGTGAGCGATGCCTCTCTGACGTTAATGGTTCTGGTTCTGTGTTATCTCTTAGGAGATGAAGGTTGGCATTAAAGCGCAGATAACAATTGCGGTGGTACCCAACACCTTCCAAGTCATCAGGTAAAGTTGAGGGGATTTGGTCACAGACTGACTGCATACGATATGGTGATTCATGAGATTCTTGGAGACGTTGGTCCTGGATATCATGAAGATGTTGTAGTTTTTCTGCAGGGGTTCCTTTTTTCCTTTACTTTTGAGAGGGGTGTGAAATTACCATGATCTGACATGGATGACACATGAAGTAGCTGATGTTATGGGTGCAACCATCTTATTTTACAGTCATGTTTGAAGCTAGTACTTGTTTTAGCAGACTTAAGATAAGATAAAATAAGAAGGAAAAATATTTAAACTATATGTGATAACTATATTCAAGAAGGAAATATTACATAATGTGTGCATTGTGTAGTCAAAGTCAGTTAGTGAATGAATATTTGCCTTAACACAATTTCGCTAGAGCCATATACTAAAAAGTGGGTTTTGGGGGGTTTGGGGGCAGATGGGACATTCTGAGAACTTTTTATCATAGCTCATCATTTTCAGCACATTTTTTCCTATAGAAAAACACTGATTAGAAATATATCTCCGGGGGGGTGCACTGAACCCCCTCCAACCAACTAGACTATGTGTGGTGGACAGAGATCAGGAAGTTTTATATTTTTTAGGTCACGTTTCCTCTGTTATTCTATATCAGATCTCCGTTAAACAGCGGTGTGGTGTGATGAGCTGTGAAAGCTGTAGCTTTGTGAACACAGGTGGGTCTGTGTGGATGAGAGGAGACAGAGTTAATGAGAGAGATTCTGGTGATGAAGTTTATACAGTTAATACTGATGTTTACTTCAGATCGCTGCTCTGTATGTGTGCGTGTGTGTGCATGTACCGTTGCTACTGCCTTCTCCTCCTCCGCTTCTCCATCTAGCTTACATGGTCTCTTTCTGACCGGCTCAAAAGCATACGCCATCAGGTTGGCAGGATAGACCTCCACCACATCCATCTCAGATTCGTCCTCCGACATCTTACCGCTGAGCGTTTGAGTCACGTACACTAATTACTATTTCACCGCTCTGTTCCTGCACAACCGCTGACGTCACAACTGTCTTAAACTCAAGATGGCGCTGTGCGCATGTCATCTTGAAAGCGGTTTTTCTATTAAACAGCTGATTTTTTACACAAAAAATTATTTCAGACTCTCTCCTAATTTACCATGTGAGGACGTCAATGTGGTGTATTTCATGTCCTCTTTAAACGTTGGTCAACCCTTGTTTCATGTTCTGACTTTTTCTATCGCTCTGTTTGGAGGAACACTAATCCATGTGATGTTACAGAAAAATTGTCAAAAGAGTGGACATTTCAGTCATGTTTGAATGTTTTCATTTTCAACATTTTGAGGAAGTTTCTCAGAGATACATTTTCTTTGTTTGTTCTTATGAATCTCTTTCTGCAATGCAATTTACTGCAGCAACTCTGAACATTCACTCAGAACGGGCTCTGTTTCAGAGAGTTAATGTTTTTACCCAAAGGAAGGAAGCGCTTCTTTTTATGTCTTATATTATCAGTTATGTGAGGGACAGTGAAATTTCAGTTTATCAAAGCAAAGGTCTGTTAGAGCAGAGATCCCCAACCACCAGGCCCAGTACCGGTCCATAGATCAATTGGTACTGGGCTGCAAAAAAAAAGACGATGATTAATTTTTCTTTTTTTTCTCTTTTCATCCATCCTCCCAGTATTTCATTTTAAAGACCACCACGTCTGCCATCGCCCCACTTCGTGCAACACAAGCTAGCCTTTGCAAAAATGAGCCAGAAACAGAGTTCACTGGAGAGAGAAAGGGTTGATTCTGCATTATGGTGAGTTGATTTTAAAGTGTAATGAAAAGTGCCTAATATAAAATATAATTGTTGCAGCCAGATTACACACTATGTACATACTATGTACTGATGAAGGTTTTTGTTATTGGAACCTCCATGCCCCTACCCGGTCCTTTGAAAAGTTTACTGCATGAAACTGGTCCCTGGTACAAAAAAGGTTGGGGACCACTGTGTTAGAGGGTGTTGAGGCCTTTATTTATTTTATTTTTTTTCTTTTCTTACATGTCCCAAGAAAGGTCTTTTTTAATGTCTTGACATCTATTGACACTTATTTTGAAGCAAGGCTGGTTGGAGTTGGGCTTGTTGGGGTTTTAATAAAGGTCCTAATTGAATTGTCTTCTCAGCTATTTTTCATGTGTTAATATTGAAAGTTGACTAGCTAATTCTCATGTAGATTCTTTATTAACATTAGTTTGCTTAAGGTCGACAAAAAAATACATGATGTTTCACTAACTCGATAAAATAAGTTCAGCCAACATGTTTTTTAGTTATCTTAAAGGGATATTCTGGCATAAATTTAAGTTATGGTCACACACCCTTACACCAAGCTAGACAGCCCCTCGAGAGATGTATGCTGCCAACTGCTTGCTTCTCTAATTATACCAACTTCAGCAACGACCGCACGATAGCAATACACAGCAGTCTATGTCCCCACGCGCAAACTTCAACCAAAAAGCCACTCTAAAGCCACAAATAATGCTCAGAACACCACCTAACTTCATCAACAGTACATATAGGGACCCAGCTATAGTTCTAGCCATCAAAAAATTACCTTTGCCTGGTTTCTGTAGCAAAGACACCAAACACAACGCACCCACTCTTCTCCAGCAGCTGCTTGTTCGTGGGGGGAGCCCAGACGAGTACATCCCCGAGTGCAGGGAGTTTTGCAGCTCAAGCAAGAACATTTATGAATATTACTTCATGGCAATGCAATCAGAGTTCTTGCGTATCTTGTGTGCACACTGTAGATGCGGTTTTCTCTTGCCTCAGCGTCTCAGTCTGATTGCATTTCCATGAAGAAATCATCATAAATTTTCTGCTGCACTTGGTGATCGTCTTGTTAGGGCTCCCCCACAAACAAGCGGCTGCTGGAGGAGAAGAGTGGGTGAGTTATGTTTGTTATCTTTTTATAAGAAACCAGGCAAAGCTAAAAAGACGTTTGGCTAGTACTATGGCTGGGACCCTATATGTTCTGTTAAGGAAGTTAGACATGAAGACGTATACCCCTGTGTATTGGTATTGTGCGGTCATTGCTGAAGTGGTATAACCAGAGAGGCAAGCAGTCGGCAACATTCATCTCTCGAGGGGTTTAACTTGTTGTTAGGGTGTGTGACCGTAACTTAAATTTACGCCGGAATATCCCTTTAAGTTAAGTCCACATAACTTGATACAGAGAGTTGAGTCAACAAACTGTTTGTTGTATCAATTATGGACTTCATTTTGAGCCAACTTGATTTGCATTTTAGGAACTTGATAAAATACATTCAACCAACATCTCTTAAAGTTATCTCAAATAATATTTTGTAGTGTGTTGGGTCTAAAACCTGCCCAAATACCTGATAACATATAAAGAAGAGAAAGACAATGGTATATACTCGAGGAGAATGGACAGAGATAGTTTCAGGTACCATCCCGAAACCACTCTGAAAGGTATTTCCGCCCAGTCTCTTTATTTAGGGTTGTCCCTGGTTACACAATGTTTCTAAAGGATGGGGGAAAAATATGTGCAGCAACGTAAGCACTCTCATAAAGCATAATTATGAACAACAGAAAATATGTGAGGGTCAAGGCAACATTGTTGACATTAAACAAGCTCCTTCTGATAGGAGCGGATCCTCCTCATTACTTCCCACGATTCATAGTGGAGGATACATCACACACACACACCTGCTGATAGGAGAAACAAGGGGCTCTATTTTCGTGCGCGCCGGTGAGGCGGCGGAGGGCGGCGAGCCCCGCGCAGTTGTATTTTCGTCTGGCGGAGCCCAGCGTAAGGCCGGTTTGGTATTTTCGTGGCATGAGCCGCACGGAGGCGAGCCGAGATCCGCCAAGCTGGGCGTGGTGGCGTGGCAGGGGGAGGTTTCGACAGAATCAGCTGGCGCAGTGACATTTTCGTGCTCGCCAACGGCGTGTAAAGTGCGCTGAAAGCTCGCCGATTCAAACCTGGTCAGCTTTCAGCGCAAGGCGGAACGCAGCTGGTCTTGTAGTATTTTGGTAGACCGGCGGCGTATCGACATACGTCACTGATGCCTCACCGGCAGGTTTCCACAGTGTCAGGCACATTTCAGTGCAATAAATAATCATCATCAACTATTAATCTGAGTCAGCACATACATTTAGATCTATATAGATATATTCTGATCTATATCTGATCTGATGAGCGCGTTTGGCACGCGTTTGGACACACAACCTGACCGAATCAACACAGCTGAAACCGCATCAAATTAAATTAAATATCTAGTAAATATACACACATGATGAAGTTAACAAGATATGTAATGTGTCTCCCTCCTTTTCTTTCTTCCTCTTCCTCTTATTTCTCGCACAGCTCGACCTGGACACGTCTCCGTGTCCTCTGTCCGTCTTGCTGCTGCTGCAGCTGAACAGATGATTTGTTTCAGTGCTCAGATGCGTTATCTACTTTAAGCCGACATACGGATATTATAATATTCAGTTTTGTGAGCCAAATTTATTTATATGCCAACATCTATGAAAGAAAGAGCCAGGCCACGGAGCGCGATGGGTCATTTACGCACAGATGGTTCCGATTTTAATGCCATTTTTGGAGTTTATGTTGTGATCTGTGCGCTCAACCCACCTTTGTCACGTGAGGTTTGAATATGAGCAACTTTATGTGAGTGTCTTTATTTGTGGAAAAGGGTGTTTGTCTTACCAGTGGGTCCAACATTACGCGCACTAAATCCATCTGTGCTCATATGAGAGAGTGTGGAGGACACTTGTTGAGGAGCTGCCCTCTGTCGCCATCTTGTGGCATTACTGTCTTAAGACATCTCTTGATCTCTTTGACTACTCCATGAAAATAGTAATACGCCTGTGGCGGATTTAAAGGCAAGGAGAGGAGCTTATGTGATTGGTGAAAACAGGTCTCGGCTGTGTTAAACCAACTACACGCCCCGTCTACGACTTATGGTGCTGGGAGGAGCTGAGTTAGGGAGGGGGGATACTTACGCTGGGCTGCGCGGCTCACCAAAATACCAAAATGTGCTTGGGAACGCCTTGTCAGCGCGGCGGATCTGACTGACGCTGCGCTTGCGGCACGTCTCCGGCGAGGCACCAAAATAGAGCCCCAGGTCACAGAGAAGTTAAGAAACATTCATGTGCTGTGTAATAAAGCTATTGGAGAGAGAAGTTAGAAAACACTCTTATATGATGTGTAACACGAGGTTAAAACAGTTCATACTTGTAGCAAACTCTTACATAAGAATTTGAGTAAGATGATAACTTCTATATACATTTATACACATTATTCTGACAAGTCCAACTAACTTGATACAGGAAGTTGAGTCAACAGACTACATGTTCCATCAACTCATGTTTTGAAGTGTAATAAACTTGACACTATAATGAACTCACTCAAAGCCACAAGATGACTCAACTTTGTTAACCTATGAAGACCTGAACCCTGTCTGAGACACGCCTCTGAAATCTTGAGGGCAATTTTGAGAGGGGCCCCCAAATCTTGAAGTTTTCTGAAGTGTTGAGGTTTACAAAAAAGCTGATATTTCGGCCTCTGTAGCATTTGAGAGCTTACACGTGCCTTTCAAGATAATTATCTTTTATTTGTCCGAACCTTCATCACATTATTGAAAACCTTGAAGAAACAAACTCAAATGAAATAAAGCGGCTAAATAAATAAAAGTAAAGGCTCTGCACTGGAGAATAACAAACGATTTGCTGATAAAGTGTCCATTCAATACAAATGTAAATATAAAAATAGTCTTGAAATTATGGGTCCACTGGCCACTAAGGTTGAAATGCATACATGCACCTGGCTTTCTGAGTAAAAATGCACAGCCGTGCTCCTGGCTTGGAAGGTTGAAGTGTATACATGCTTTCCTGGTTTAAATGGGTTGAGTCAGCTATTCTTTTTTTTTTTTTTACTTTTTTTTCTTTTTTTGTGCCACCCCAATGTTTGCTGTTGTTACTGTACTGCATTTGAGGCAGAGAGCATGAAATAATTAGAACATTGAGGACGATGGTCTTTTGCAAACCTGTTGTTTAACACCCTCAGAGCTCCATGATGGTTTACTATCACATTGGTGATGGTAAAACTGACTGTCGTATGAAGTTGTCGTCTCATGCTTTGTCCATGTGGAGCCAGTAAATCAAGAGTAAAAAGGAAATTCCCAGTGCTGCAGTGATAGGGATAAAACAGTGCAAAGCATTTGGCAGAGAAATACTCAGAGCTCGGCACAGGGATGTGGAGAGAGAGAGAGAGAGAAAGAGAGGAAGAGGGTGCTGATAAAAAAATGGATGAATGTGTTGGATGCTTTCCACATGCCGCTCCCTTAGACGAGGCAAAAGGCCCAGATCAGGTTCCCCTTCCCAAATCACAAATCCCAATCCTCAACCATCAGCAGACAAGGAAAACTCACCACAAATCAGCATCTCAGGTTTCTGTATCCTCTGTCATCCAGCTTTTATGAAGTGCATTTTTGCACAGACTTTATCCTTTAATTCAGTTTGACATCAGGAGGAGTTTCAGTGCACAAAGCTTTTTTCCCCACAGACGGCCTGAGCTTGTTCACTGTAAGGCCCTGTAACCTCAGGCAGAGAAGAAAAACGTCAAACCTTTTAAAAATACTGGAGGTAGCACATCTTATTTACATAAATGGAGAGCTCAAATTTAATGAAATCAGACAGTAGCAGTAAATTAGGAGTCTAACTTTTGGTGGGTGATGATTTAACCAACCAATATATTCAACAAAGCTGCTCTTCCTGTGCTGACATGTCTGAGGACAGATCTGTCAGAGGCTCGCCCACAGAAATAACACAAACTGTATGATCTGATATTTTTTAATCATTTTTGCCCAACAATCTGTTTTATATGATGCATGTACTGTATACATGTATGACAAGCAGCAGCAACAACAATTCAACAAAATGTTCAGCGAAGAGTAGGATGAATTTTCATTATTTCCGGAGCCAGACACACACATGGATTGTTTATCAGCTTTAATATCTTTATTACCTTTGAACATGAACGTTAACTTGAAAAATGATCATCCAAACCTTGAATTTAGTTTTCTATAGATATTTTTTGCCTTACCTGACTTCACTGCTGGAGTGCTGCTCTGTGGCAGCAGCAGAGCAACGCTAAGGAGGGTTATGAACGGCTGGTTCACAGAGCCAAACTGGTACAATGAAGAGCTGTTAAGGAGCTTAAAGAGCTCCTTTTTGTTAAGCCAAATAATCTAAATCACCAAAAAGAGCCTGAATCTCCACCAGCAGGAGCATTTACGCCAAGATTGTTCATCTGAGAGGATCTTCTGTTTGTCTGATAAGAATGGCAAGCATGACTTAAACAGCAGACCCACTGAGGGATAAGGGCCGGCCATTGCCACGATCATGTTAACCAGTTATAAGAACACATTACTGAAGTGCATGTAAACATGCACAATCAGATCATCACCAGCACCTGTTGGTTCCCAAGTATTGAATAAATGTGACCCTGTCCATGTGCGCTTATAGTCAAGCTTTCATCTGGGGTTAAATTTGACTGAATAAAGTCAGTCATCTCACTTCACACAGAGAGACTATAGGTATGAGTCTCACTCTTGTATCAGGGTTACGGATGGCTCGAAACTCATGTCTTAAACCCTTCCTCCCTCTAGTCTGCAGTCCTCTAAAACACTGTAACCCCTGCCGTATCCCAGCCTGAGAGTCTAGTCCACTGTGAGTTTGGTCAGCTTTTGAGATCAGATGAAAGACAGAACTGGAGTCACTTTTTTCCTGTTTTCCTTCAGACCAAGTCTGAGATACAGCAGTATCAGGGTAAAGAAAATCACAGTTAGTGCAGATAGGCAACGATCCAGCTTTTCCTCGCACCATTTGTCCTCACTATTTTTCAAACCAGTGACCAGTTTATGCAAATACAGAAAGGGAGCAGGAGATGTGTGGTTCAGATAGCTCTGTAATAATGGGCTGGTAGCATGATATATGAGCCAATTTAAATAACACAAACTCTCACTTCATCTGGAAACCTGACACACACATGCACACACATAATAATCAGGGATCTGCAAAAACTTGTACAGCACATCTGCACTCCACGTGCCTTTTTCCCTGGAGCCGCTGGAGCCATTGCTACAACAACTTGGCTACTTCAGTCTATTTGGCCAGTCTACCTCAATCTGCATCAGTGGAGCCGCAGGAGCCAGAAGGATGTTGGCATACAATGAAATAGACAAAGAGAGAAGTGCAGAACATTTTCCTCCTTCTGACCATCCTTTCAACACCTCATTCCTTCACTTTGGTTTAACACGTCTTCATCTGTGTCTCCCAGAAACACTAGGTCTCTATTCAGATTAAAGATGCATGCATCCAGTTATTTATCTGAATATGGTGCTTATAGGAAGGGCTGGAAAATCTGAGATGATCAACCCTCAAATGGCTATGGCTAACACATCCAGCATACACTGAACAGTGTTAGCAATCACACACAAAATGTAACTCAACTATGTAAACTGAGTCTGTCCATGCAAGTGTAACCTGCAGTTTGCTAAAAAAAAAAACTAAAAAAAACTCAGAAAAGTCTGTAAACGCAGAGTGTACAAGCTCATGATTCAAATAGTGAGTCCATGGTGACTGTGAAATCTGTATTTCTGCTCAATTTCACTAATTTTCCAAGAATCGTAAATTTTAGCATTAAATACATAACTACCCAACCCTTTTTTGTTTACCAAAACCCACTTCTTCAGTTTGAAGTCATAATAAAAAATTGCTTTACTAAAGTGTCATGCTAACCACAAATGTTTGCAATCATACTATTAAAAGTTAACGACCTCCTTCTTTCTCTGTTCTTTGTAACTGTCAAACTTATTTTTCCACTCAGTTTTGTAGCCATTAAATTGATATTTTCTATTGTTTTCAATTTTTTAACATAAAAGCTATTTTTCAAGTCACTGCATCCTTGTTCTTTCCTCCTAAAATTCACGTGAAAACTCACTGAAGGTTGAATTTAGTTCAGTCGGACCATGGTTGGACCCCAAACGTTTTATCCTTTTCACAGAAGCCTGGTAATGAACCTCATCTGTCACTGTGCCACCCATCAGTCCATCCCTTCCTCTCATCCCAGAGCCTTTTCCAGCTGACAGTAAACAGGAGGTGGGGGATGCTATGAAAAAAGTCTATCACAGAGCAAACAAAGAGACAACAGCACCAACCACTGTGTAGCCTGCTCATCTTATCATTTGCATTTGGATTCTTTTGGTTTGCATGAAATCTGCATGTTTCATTGGAACAAGTTAGTATATCTCTCTGGCTTCTTGCACAGGCTGTAAGGCTGTTGTGATGGTTGAAAGAAAACCTGCAGACCAGAGTTTTAAAACTGTAGTAAGTCCTGGTGCAAATATTCTTTTTGACTTTTCCACTAGTCTGCACGTTTGCACGCCAGTATAAGCCAGTCCAAACTGTTTCAGAGCAGACAATCATGTCACCTTATAGAAGTTCGTGGTGCATCTCTTATTTAAAACAGTCCATTTTTCAGAAGCACAGTCATCAGTTGATGGCAACAAGTTTAAGTACACTAGTTTGACAGCCTGTATCAAACTGTCTGATTTCTCTCAACTATGAAGTTAGTCAGACAGCTGCTTCATCAGCACTGCTTACTGTATCTGCTGAGTGCTCGAGGGACCACAAATCCAACACCAGCTGCCATGACACACTAACTCTTCAACCTCTCAGATCCTCCTGTAATCTGTGTGTGTGTTTACTGTCTCCAAAGTGAACTACACTAATGTTCCTGTTGAACTGTTACTGTTAGTTTGTGATTAGGAGGAGTGCAAACTCCCCTGACTGGACTCTGACCTCCAAAATCATTCTCTGAATGTTACCTCACAGATCAAAAAAGGCAAATGACACTCACAGACTTTCTTTGACTGATTATTTACTGAGTAAGCGCAGCATGAACTCCTGATCTGCTCTTAACAAAATAAATCATGTTGAGCAATTAAAATCCAAACCGTTATTAGACAGTCAGCTGACTCTTTCACCCCATTTTCAAACAGAGGTGACAGAAGCAGCTGTTGATCATGTTGCAGACTCTTGATGTTCAGTGATGGCTCCACCAGGCTGTAACTCCATTTTTTCTTAAATCTCGCTCCCTGCCTCCCCACTTTGCCATCCATTCACACATCACCAGCTTGTGTTGCTCCATAGCTGGCACAAACTGCCTGAACCCAATGGCACTGAGCCATTGGCTGCTGCCACCACTTTGGTCTTGTTTGTTGGAAGAGAATATCTCACAAGCAGGATGTGCTCCACTCAAAGGCCATGACCAGCAACAGACGGGGGACTGTTAAATCCTCAAGAACCCTCATATACACAGAGAGCATGCAGGTGGCCCAATATGAAAATAAAGTGTTTAACTATGAACAGGTGAATGTCAGGAACCAGCAGCAAATATTGGAGACGTGAACACAAAGCAGCGAGGGACAGGAGTGTGTTTCAGGAATATCATCTAATCTGCAACAAATTGCCAGATGAAGTAGCGTCTGGCTGACTTAATGACAGAAAGGTGAGGTCGCTGTGGTGAACAAGGAGGAAATGGGATCTAGGAGAAAAAAAGAAAAGAAAGTTGGTCAAGAGCCACATATAATACCACGGCCTCTGGAGCTGCAGCCAAGACTAAATGTTCTTTCTGTTTCTCCAAATTAAGGCCGCCAATTGAATGAGATGAGAGATTGAATTCAGACACTCTCCAAGCAAACTAAACACTGCAAGACCTGAGAACAAAAGAGCTGAGCTGCTAAGAAGAAACAAGAGGGAGAAGTTAATCCACCGCATCGAACACTGCTGTCAACACATTTTGTTCCTCAGATTTTGGGGAAATCGACCAGCAATGAGGTTGACCTTATCTTACTAAAGGAAATTTGTCTTGGAAATAAAGTGAGTGCAGTTAAGTAATTCAATGAGAAATTTGTTTTAAACTTTAATATGAACATTAAACAATCCGAAGATTCATGAAGCCAAGAGGACTAATGTTGTCACTATCTATGACTTCATCCTATCTGTGATTTTTTTTTTTTTCCTATCAATGCTGGCACTATAAATGCAGCCATAATTTCCAAAGCAGGAAACAGGAACTATCTCCTGCTTTTAGAAGGCAAAGACGGTTTTGGTGTCAAAGATGCTTAATCATCTAAGAAAGCTTACCTTTATGAGGACTACTGTGTCCAGATGCAAACTAAAAGACTAAAAGATAGGTGTCAACAGCCAAGAGTCGAATTTGAAACAGCTAAGGTGAGTAACAGCTGCTGGTATGTAAGTCAGAGGACAGCCAGAATTTAAAAAAAAATTTAAAAAAAGAATTACTGGGATGCAGAAAAACTGTCAATCACAATACAGATTGATTTACTAAAAACGATGCAAGGAAAAGATATGAAATGTTTAAGCCAGAAAAAGGGATTGAAAAAACTGGTACTGGAACATCTCCAAACTAATGAGGTGAGTGTCCAACAGTTTAGTAAAAAGACTGGGTATAAAAAGGACATTTAAAGAGGCTGAGTCTCTCAGAAGATGGGAAGAGGTTCACCACTCTGTGAGAGACAGTGTGAGCTAATAGTTCAACAGTTTCAGAATAATGTTACTATATGTCAAATGTGAAAGAATGAGTGGATTTTATCATCTACAGAAGACAATATCATTCAAAGATTCAGAGAATTTGGAGAAATATTTGTACTAAAGGAACAAGAACCAAAACCAAGACTGGATGGTCCTGATCATCAGGCCCTCAGGCAGCACAGCATTAAAACTGAGCCTGGGTTTTTATTTTAGGATTAAGTCCTGTCTGTCTTTTGGAGCTAAGAAGAAACTTGTTAGTTCCATTTTTATGTCAGTGTTGGACTATGGTTATGTTTTGGACACGCATGCTTTGTCTCAGAGCTCACATGCTCGAGACACAGTGTATCATGGAGCTCTGTGGTTCATAACTAATTTTAAATCCCTCACTCATCACTATTTATTGTAAGATCATGTGGGATGGTCTTTATTGTCTACACAGATTAAAACACCGGCATATTCTTGTCTACGAGGTAATTCTTGGCCTTCTACCCTCCCACCTTCAGACCTACATCATTGAGAAGAGTACACTCTAGAAAAAGAGATTTTTAACCCTAACAAGGTTTTCTCCTGGTTAAATAAAGGTTAAAAAGAACCTGTGAGAATCTGCACAACTGCTGAAGTGAAGAGACGTACAAAGCAAGGTTTGTATCATTCCCACTATTGCATTACCATATAGATGACTTGATATTATTATATAGACCCTCATTTAGTTGTTAAGATGTAGGTTTGTGAAGCACTGTGTACCAGCTTTTGCCTTTAGGAATTGATTGGTAGGTGAGCAAGCTAATGGTTAACCAAGGTTAGTAGCATAAAGTTCATTTCCTTAAACGTAGCAAGCTAACAAGTTACCTGATATGCGGTGTGGTGTGGTGTGGTCAGTAATGTTGAACTACTGCTTTAATGGACTCACTATCTAAATGTTTCAGGTTGATACGAACAATCAATGGATGACTTTGTGACTTTGTGTGGGAGTGGAGTGGAGTGGATGCAAGACACAACCTCCAGTTCTGTATTGTTTATTTTGAAAAGATAAGAAAACCATATAAAAAAAAAGAAAACTGCCAAATGTTTACAAACTCCAAAGTTCATTCTCCGTCAGTTAAATGGAAAGGGAGCTGTTAAGGGGCGGCAGCAGCTCAGGAGGTAAAGTGGTCATCCAATGACCGGAAGGTTGGTGATTCAATTCACCCCTATCCCAAGTCTGTACATTGTGTCCTTGGGCAAGACACTTAACCTACCTTGCTCCCAGTGTGTGTCCTCCACTGGTGTATGATTGTGAGTGTTGTGTGGTGGTGGTGGTCAGAGAGGCTGTAGGTGCAAACTGGCCCCAGGGCAGCTATGACTACTAAGGTAGTCTACCACCAAGGTGTGACTGTGTGAGTAAATGAATTATGTCTCCATTGTAAAGTGCTTCGAGGGTCTCTGATAAAGCACTATAAGAATGATGGGTTTAAACAACCCAATTGTTGGGTTAAGTGAACCAACCCAATCAGTTGGGTAAAATTTACCCACTATGTGTTCAGTCCAATATTTAACCAGCGCTGGGTTGGGAAACTACCCAAATTGGGTTGTTTTTAACCCAATGTTTTTAAGAGTGTAGGAAGAAGGGACCCCCCTCTTGTTCTCAACTCCCAGTTTCTCCCATACCTGATGGTACGGGGATCATCAGAGTCCATGTCATGGGTATCTTCCATCTTTTATCTTGTCCCGAATCCAGACAAGACTGTCAGCTGGCCTGTTTTCAGTTACTTCTGCAGAACCAGGGGTCTGTAATTTCATCTTGTTGGACTAAGTCTTATGTCCTGTGCTGTGTGGACCTTTACTGTCATCTTCCCTCATCTACAGAAATGTGGCCTGCTTTAGCACAAGATCATTTTTGTGCACTTTTCCAAGATGAAAATGGACTAACTTTAGATGAGATAAATCTCTCTGAACAGATGGATGAAACAGGAAATCGTTTCAGCCTCTACCTGAGCAGTGAGCACACTTTCGCTCTCATCAGCTGTATTCAAGCTGAGGAGGAAATCCTGCAGTTATCCTAATGGCTCCAGTGAGTATTAAACTTACAGTCCTGTCTCAAGCTCAGCCATGGAGACTTGCATAGACCTGATTTCTTCCGACTCTTCAATTTTTCTGTCATTTCCCAATGTCTGTAATTTCTGTCAACGTTACTCTAGTGTCATTCTCTGAGCACCTAAATTCTGTCCTTTTGCTTGTCTGTCTGTCTGTCTGTCTGAGGATGCCAGTCAGCTTGACCTCTTTGTTGAGAATCAAAATGAAGAACAAAGAAGTTAAGGTCATTACAAACGGGGGCAAATTTGCAAAGTGAATAAAGGCTAAAACATATAGGATCCATATCATAGCACGTACTATCAGCATTGTGTATCATGCAGCAAATAGGTTGCCATTCTAATAAATGCAGCATCGCATACAGGAAGCGTATCAAGTGTGGCTCTGCAAAAGATACACGCCAAGTCTATTTTCGCTGCTCTATGCTTCCAACATGTGTCATTCTCCACAGAGAAGATCACTCTAGACAGGATGTCAAGCACGAAAACCATGCATGCTATCCAGTAAATTTCCAAATAAAACACCATATGCGGACTTCTGACTGTGTATCAGTTCATGTAGACGAGAAATACTTCCTGGTTGTGGATTTATCAGTAACACAGAACAATCCAATGGTCAATCCCTGATCCATGTGGAACCCAACAGGACTTTTAACTGCTAGCTCTGTATGAAAGTAACAGCACAGCATAAAGGAACACAGTTTACTTGATTAAACACAAGTAAACCTGCAAAAACTGAAACCGTAAAATCATGTTGCTTTTTCACATACAGTAGAGGCTCAACAGTCGCTGAATTATATCCAAATAAGCAGGAAATACACCACAGAAAAGCCACATTTTTTTGGCTTATTGCACTTTTTTTGAAAAACCTCATAAAGTCAGTGCAAGCTTCCACACCGGCAATGCACTTCCACAGAGCAAAAAAGCAACTGTAATTTTTTTGCCCCTGGAGTGAATTTTGGGACATTCACAGGCAAACTGCTATATAAATCTATAGCCTAATATAAAT